TAGGCAGGTGTGACCCAGCTGGAGGGCTCTGGTCCCTCTGACTCTGCATGAAGGCAAAATTAAATCACTGAATGGTTTGGGTTGGAAGGGATGATCTCATCCCACCCATGGCAGGGACACCTTCCACCATCCCAGGCTGCTCCAAGCCCTGTCCAGCCTGGCCTTGGACACTCCCAGGGATCCAGGGGCAGCCACAGCTGCTCTGGGCACCTGTGCCAGGGCCTCTCCACCTTCACATGAAAACATCTCATGTAAATCTTCTTTATTTCAGTTTTAGCCATTCCCCCTTGTCTTGTCATTCTTGAAACTCCCTTTCCATCAAATCTGTCCCAGCTGTGGAGCTGGGACTCGGCTGGTGGGGCTGGGTTCTGCACCAAGGCCTCCCAAATCCCTGGAGCAGGGCTTCCCAAGGAACACCTTGGCAAATATTAACAACACAGAAACACACACAGAACTACGGTCAGATGTTCCTCTGAAGCAGCTCACTGACTCCCAGGACTAAATTTGGACCAACAAGCCTCGTGCATCAAATAATTAAGTCATAGGCTATAGAAAGCAATCCTCTGGGACATTCTTGTCTTTGAGTGGCTCATCCACTTCCAATCTAATCCATACCATTAAGTGTACGGCCATATGGCATCCATTTATAGAATATTGCACTACAGGCAGATAGGACTAAAGGTACACCCCTCAAAGCACTTCTCTCATGTCATTAACTTTGGGTACATGTTACACAGGAGCTGCTCTGGCTCTGGTGCGTTCAAGGACATTTTGTGCTCCGGAGCCTTTGTCTTAAATGAATTGCACTTGGAAAATTAGAATCTAAATGTAGCCGTGCCCTAAAGCAAACAGCATTATTTTGCCTTTCTGTAATTCGATTTATTTTTGCAGATCGATGTTTTGAAGCAGGAGTGTTCTTTTGTCCTGGGCTCCTGTCTAATGACCACGCTGACTGTGGGGAGCTCGGCACGGGGTGCTGTTGGTGTGGCAGGGAGCCTGGGTGGGCTGTGCAGGTCTCAGAGGTGCCCTGCCATGTGCTGTGCTCTGCGTGAAAGCTCTCCCCAAAACCGGACACACTGTGTGGGACAAACTCTGTCAACACCTGCAGAGGTCTTGCTGTAAGATGTGAGGTCCCATTTCCCTCTGCTGTGAGGTTTGGGGTCTCATTTCCCTCTGCTGTGAGGTTTGGGGTCTCATCTCTCTTTGTGTGAGGTTCAGGGTCCCAACTCTCTCTGCTGTGAAGTTTTGGGTTTCTTCTCTCTCTGCTGGGAGGTTTGGGGTCTCATCTCTTTTTGTGTGAGGTTTGGGGTCTCATTTCCCCTGCTGTGAGGTTTGGGGTCTTGTAGGAGACGCTTTCTGGGGACGGTCAGAGACATGGCAAAGACCTCTATAATCGAGTTAAGTGTTAGAAGTTTATTTCAGGGCGTGGGGTAGAGAGAGAGAGAGAGCCTGCTATGAGCCAACAGATAGAGCTCAAGGCGGGCTCAGGGAGAGCAATACAAAAGAGGGTAAGATACGAATACATGAGTTTAAGACTTAAGATTTCTACGAAAGAGAGTTACAGAACATAACAGAAGTGAGCGAGCCGGAAAAAGAGAGAGCCGGAAAAAGAGCGAGAGCTCTTCTATACCACTACTTATATAACCTATACCTTTGAATATTCTATTCCTTTACTAACCAATCTTTCTAAGTATACTAATATAGTAACATTTGTGTACAACCTATAGAAATCGCTATTTTTGCATATTTTTAGTTATCTCAGGGTCCTTCAGACCTTTCCTTATAAGGCTGGGATGAGGGGTCTCAGCTTGGTTTTATTGCAGGAAAGAATGTGTTCTGGCATACCAGCCCGGTTTCTTTGAATTATTCAAACCGTGCTATCATTTGTATTTCTTCCTTAGCCTTTCTGGCTACAAAGTCATATTTATAATTTCTTTCTAATTCTACCTTCCCAACAGGGTCTCATCTCTCTTTGCTGTGAAATGTGACATCTTGGAGAGGAACCTCCTCTTCATTAGAACAACTTCTAGGATGGAGGACACAAAGCCTGGCTGCTGGGACAATAAACCACACCCCAAAGCAGCCCAGCACGTGGTACAGCCAGGATTCCCACCCGCTTTCCCATCCTGAATCCCTGGAGGAGCTGGGCAGGAGCAGTTCCAGTGCAAAGCTCAGCCCTGGTGCCATCATCAGCCTCTGTCCCATCGATTGCAGCAAATCCAGCCCTTACAGTAACAGTGTGCTGCCCCTCAGTGAGTTTGCTCTGAAGAAATACATTAATTAAATAGAAATGACTGCAGGTGCCTTCCTGCTTTTTGGCTTAACTGATTTCTCCTGCGCATCGAGGATCAATACTGCTGCCAATTACACGATGGGTCTCCAGCTCCCCTTTTTGAGCTTCTTGGAGGGAAAACCACTGCTAAATAGCAAAGTTCTCCACAAAGCTGGCAGTCCAGAGAGCTGGAATTACAGAGTGCAGCAGAGGAATGAGTCCTCAGAGAGCTGTCCCCATTCTGCATCCAGCCAAGGCTTCGGTGCGAGCAGCAGTGCTGACACAGGGCAGGCTCGGCCCCGTGGAACTGCCTGGAACATCATCAGGGGGAGGATTGCTCCATGCTTGTGGTTTAATCCAGCTCTGAGAAACCACATTACACTGTTTTGTTTTCTACACTGTTTTGTCTTCCTTTCCCCTCCTCCTGTTGAAGAGCCCAGCAGGGAACTGCTGCAAAGGCTGAGAGGTTGAAATCCGTACGTGCGGCTTAAAGCAAACACCGATTGCTGATATTCAATCTCCTGACCCTGGTGATCCCTGCTCCTTCCCAGGGCCCTAAAACATCCATCTGCTGAGCCTCACTGGGCCACTTGGCTGAAAAATTGTCATTCCTGGTGGTAAAACCCAGTGGCACCAGTGAGCCCTCTGCAGCTTGCACAGGGACCATGCCCCAGCTGCCCCAAGGGGCTCCCTGGATGGGTGGGAAAGGTGCTGTCCCTTCACCTGGAGCTGGCTGGAGTGGGAATTGCTAAATATTGTTCTTCTGGGGGTGCAGGGGAGAGATGGGACCCCACATCTCACAGAGAGAGAGATGGGACCTCAAATATCACACCAGACAGACAGGAGACCCCAAATCTCACAGAGAGAGAGATGAGACCCCAAATCTCATACCAGACAGAGAGGAGACCCCAAATCTCACAGAGATGGGACCCTGCATCTCACAGCAGAAAGAGACACAAGCCCACATCTCACACAGAGAGAGATGGAACCCCAAATCTCACAGCAAAGAGAGATGAGACCCCAAATCTCGCAGCAAAGAGAGATGAGAGCCCACATCTCACACCAGGGGGAGATGAGCATCCTGTACCCCAGGAGGGCCCTGCCTTGGCAGAACCAGGAGGGCTGGTTGTGCTGGGTGCCCAGCCCCAGAAGTGCCAGTCACTCCTTAGAACAAGTTAAATAAAGGAGATTTTTACCTGTAGCACACTCAGGATGGGGAGGACTCCAAGAATCCAAGAAGGAATGGG